TAATTTCTTGACGACCTAATACTTTTTAACATTTATGATAAGTATTGTTTCTTTTAATAATATTTTAGTGATGGAAATAATTTGTCAGTTGTTTTAAATCTACATGGATATGACAGTTGATGCCCCCCAGTGGCATAGCAGTATGTCTGCGGACTTGCAAAGCTAGAAACCGGGTTTCGATACCCGTGGTGGGCAGATCACAAATAGCCCATTGTGTAGCTTTGGGCTTAATTCCAAACAAACAAACAATGACAGTTAATAGCAATAATGACTAAATCTAATACTTTTCATGAGCCATTATTGGCTTCAATTAATAAATATTATAGTTCTTATTATCTTTTTCAGTATATAATAGATTCCATGAAGGCATTACAGTGGGATGTGGAGGTCGACAGCTTTCTTGATGCAACGCCACAGGGCTATAAGGAATTTGCCAATGTCATTGCTACACTGAATCCAGAAGCATGTCAACGTCTTGTACTTGCATGTCACTATGATTCTAAATTCAGTAGAAACGAAACTTTACTTGGAGCTACTGATGCCGCTGTGCCTTGTGCAATGATAATACACCTGGCTAGAGTTCTTGACAGACAGTTGAAGATTCAACAGACAAAGGTACGTCATGCAGTTTGGGTTATTATTTTCTATCATCATGAAACATGATCTGTGCAAAAAAAAAATTATTCTATCAACAAAAATCTCAATCATTTACTTTTACTTTTTAATCTCTATCCTAAGCTTTAATATGGACTGATTCAATGTTATCACGTAGAAATTTTGTTAAATAATTGTTGTCCATCATTACAGTATAAGTATAACACTCACTTGTTTAAAGGACTGGTAAACAATATTTCACACTGAACATTTCTAAAATGATTATGTGTAATAATATTATGTAAAATTAATTAAAAACATGCTCAAACTAATTACTGTTATAAACTGAATCTTTCAAACTATTATATTTGCCACAACTTTTTTTTCCATTCACTACAATTTTAATCAGTGAATATTTCTACATCGTTTTGTTTTAATTTTTTCAATGTGCTTGGAATGTGTCTTCTCAAAGTTGATTGATATAACAACTTTTTTAGAGTTTATTTTGGAAACAATTCATTTATGCTTTTAGATATATTATGATTTAGTAAAACTAATTGTGGATATTAACTGGTAAATTCGACATTCTGTAATTTACACAGGCTTATAGGTTTATCTTTAAACTATGCATATGAAGATTCGTAGTTTCTGACCATTTACTGCAAAAATGAGCTACTCACGTTAGAGGCGTGAGTGAGTGATGGTGAAATTCCATTATAAAATAGTAACTCAAGAGTTCATGCTGAGTACTGTTGACAAATTATCTTAACTCTAGTCTGTAGGTACAAAATTAGGAACGGCTACGTGCATATAGCCTTGTATAGCTGTCTGCAAAATTCTCAAACTCTTTTTGTTGAGTAGAATAAAAGTTCCTTGTAAACAATATTTGACTCTTCTTTAAGGCTGATATTTTGTACCCTCAACGTGAATGGAACTTTATAGACACATAGGTTTATCAGTTAAGTAAGAGAACTCTAAGATTGGGGCATAAATATCCCAAATTTTGAGCTGCTAACAGGATAGAAACAACAAGTCAATGGCACCTCCTGGTTTTGTGACTGTTCTTAACGAAATAGCAGAATTGACTGTCATGGTTGTAATACTCCAACAGCTGAATGTTCACAGCTTGTTCAGTGACATATGTTGACTGGAACCTTGGGTTTTCTGCTCTTCAACTTGGCACACCAGCCCAACCATTCTTTCAGCTGCCTAATAGGAATTAGTGATAGCCTTGAGTAGCTCATGAATATTATAATCATGAGGAACTGAATTGTTTTACCAATGCCAGGAGTATAAAAATTACTTTTTAAGTCATTGCACTTTGGTCTTAACAGCTGAACACCGTCTTATAATTATTCCAAATTGCAGAGTGTGTATGGAGGCGAAATTTAATTGTGAAAAGCATGATAAAATGAGTTGACTACTGGGTGATGGTACCAGGGGTTATTTCAACAAATGCTGACCACACATGTGGAGAATGGTTATATCACAGGAGGTAGGAAAAGTCATTTTACTGATGTTACCAGTGGCCTTTCGGCCGTACAGTGTCTTACTGAGTCCATACATTTGATTTTCCTAACTACATCATATGGTATTTTGTTTTCCAGCAGTCTCATTCCCTCTGAATGTTGATGAAAACTTTCCATGGTTGCCACTTTCACCTTACTGGTGCTTAGGAAGTCAGTATTTTGTAAATACTGTTGTGTTTGATTTGATAAAGGAACTTCTCCTGCAAACTTGTCAGTTTCATCATTTGGCTTTACACTTGTATAGCCTGACACATACATCCATCCACTTGGTGATCTTATCGTGCACTTGTTTTGTTTTCTGAATTTTATGCAGCACCAACTTTGAGTTAGTCTCATATATGATGTTGGAAGATATGTCTATTTGTATTCCATTGCTTTCAGCATTCCAGTGGAGTGCTTTCTTTATTACTTCCAGTTCCATTCTTCTGCTGTTTGTGAGAAGCTTTAATGCTCCACCAGCCTTATGCAGAATGTTGTTACTCTGCCCAACAGTGAATTCCCAAACCAGCTCTTTGACTGTCTGTGTTGTAGGAACTACATATGGCGTACCTGATGATGACAAAACCTTGTCGAAACGTTGTACATTTGCTGTCATGTTAAACTTATATTAAAGTTTTTCTTCATTGCCCATTTAAGCCATCTCCAGCCATTATTATATGGCTATGATGATAGGTGGTTGTCCATCCTGGTCTTGAAATAAGTGCTGACATGTTTTTCTGCTTCACCCCATACCCAATCTCCACATTATCTGTGTTAGACTAATTTCGACAGATCCCAGTGACACCAGACGTTTATTCCAGATGAGGTCATCTGAAATCTTAGTTTTGATTATTCATAGCAGTGATGAATTTAGAGCAGCTGTCAATCTGTGGATGTTCCCTGAAGTGTATTGAAGTGTCTGTGGAGTCGTTGTGGAGGTGAAATTTTGCAATGGAGAAGTGGATTGGATAAATGATAGAATGCGTTTTCTTATACTACAAGGCCACAGTGAATAATTTTACTTGTAGGTACTGTTTTTTGATGCTCTATAATGTTGCTGAGGCTTGTGGAGTATAATATGGCTTCGGTGGGGTGGGTGAAAAGTATTAAACAGGTGTTTTCTATCTTCTCAATCTTACCTAGCCGTGTAGCACTCATACTAATCATTTTCTGCACGTTAGTCAGGATGGAGAGAATAAGACTTATACATTCTTCAGCTCTATCTCCTATTGCAACTTTCAGTGTATTGATGCCTGTGGGAGATGCAGTTATCATGGTGTTTTTGCGGCGTGTGAAGTTGAGTTGTCTCTCAGATGTTACCTCCAAGGTATTTCAATGTTTCTTCCAGAGAGATATCAGTGACTGAGTGTGCAGAATATAACTGCAGCTTTGATAGTACTGATGACCATACCTGTCTCGTTGTACTATTTTCTCATTCTAGCAAAGGATGGTTGCATCTTGTTAGACTGTCAATGTGAACTAAATACATGGTGTATACCTTGAAGAGGACTGGCGAGATTGGTGATTCTTGAAGCAAACCATTACTGATGGTGATCCAGTCTGACTTCCAGCTTCCATACTTCATGATGCATATTTTGATAGTTAATATAGCTAGGCCCATCTTACACGTGTTACACTGATGCTGATACTGAGCATTTTTTAAAACAAAACTGGACTCTATGGTAGGCATATTCTAAATTTAAAGCTACTTCCAAGGTGTTCTGACCAGCTTCAAAGCCTTCGAATGTATCAGCAACATTGATTCGGGTTTTTCTTCCTCATCAGTTTAAAAGGTTTAAATATATAATTATGACAAAACCAGGCAACACAAATGGAATTGTACTGTTGAATAAAACATTATTAATAATATTAATAAAGTTCATTATATTCAAATAGATCAAACTAAATTTAATAAGTTGTAGAAACCAAGAGTCATCCGGTTGGACAGCGGTAAGGCTTTGGATTTACAACCCTATAATTAGCGATTCGATTCCCCTCGGTGGGCACAACTGATAACCCAATGTGGCTTTGTTATAATAAAACACACACGAAACCAACAGTAAAAAAGTTTGCAAAAATATTTATTACACTTACAGAAATAAAGATTAATAGATTATAATGAATATAAATTGCTGAGACTATCATGATCGCGTGCGTGTATTTTATAAGGGTTAGCTAAAGTACATTAGGAAGAAGGTCTAATAAGACGGATTGTTTCTAATATTGGCAGGTTTTCGTGTAAAACATATCAAGTCAATAAGTATTAAAGAACTTGCTATTTCAGACACGTTTCATTATGTGAAATAAATGCAAAACTTAAATTTTGTAAATAGTGTTTATTGTGCTTCCGCTGATATTGGTGTAACATACAATATTGTTGTTAATCTGTTAATCAGGATAACTAAAACAGGTTCTCTAGGCCAGGCGGTTAGGGCGCTTGATGCGCAATCTGAGGGTCGCCGTGTGGGCGTTAAAATGTGACGGTCAATCCCACTATTCGTTGGTAAAAGAGTAGCCCAAGAGTTCGCGGTGGGTGGTGATGACTAGCTGCAGTACAAAATCAAGATGAATGTATACTACCTTTTATAGATGTAATGGTTGAAAACTAACATGGGATTTTTAAGTGTGAAACATGTTATATAAAGACTTTACAGGTTTATATTCTAATTATAATATCTTTGTTCCTGATTTATATAAGATTGATTTAATTAGGATTTTAATACATACAAGATAAATTACACCTCTATTAATTTAGTAAAATAATTTAATATCATTGAAATGTTCTTAATAAAAAATGAGCTTCCATGTAAAACTGTATGTAAAGTTATTAATGAATATTTGATCAAACAGTATTTGTCCCTAGAGATAAAGATTACAGTCCATAAACATAGTATTGATCTCTTTTCCTTTTATAAGAACAAAATCTTTTGAAATTAAAAAAAAAAAAAACTTAATCCAATAATTAGGAAATATCCACAAGTTCAGTTAATGTTTACATTAAAACCGATAAGCAGAATTTAAATACTTTAATGTGGAAGATAAAATTACTGAATTTAGAACTGTTTATCAATGTGGATATTCTGGAGTTGAAAGCTGAGTTTTCGAAACTTTAGCTACTATCCTCATTTATGCATGCTGTTCATGTACTAAGTACTACATCTACTAAATCCAACTGTCTTAGCTTCGGTAATCGAGCAGCTATCATCCGTTATCTGGACGATATTTTTTTTTATGTAACTGTATTTGATAGCTCAGAAAGCGAGTTTAAATAAGTTCTTTCAACCGCCGATATTACAGCCAACAAACTCTCCTAACTGTGTAATAATCAGGTGAACGTTAAACAATGTAGCACACACATTGTACTGTGAAGAACACTTGACAGCTCAGGAAGCAAGGATCGCTACATTCTTTCAGTCAATGACCTTACAAACAGTGACTGTTCTAGCTCGTGATAGTTGAGCGATGATTGCTTAGTCCCAAACATATCGATTAGAAGAATCACTTGACTAACTCATAGAGCTGTCTTTCATCTCTAAATCCAGTGTTTCTTTATCTGGCTCATCATAGACATACAAATAAGTAGTTCCAGCTCGTTCTCCCTCATTGGGTGTGTCAGTATGGCTTGAGATGGAACTCTCATTCTCCTTAGACTCGTCAGTCTCAAGTTCAAACTCCTGATGAAGCCATTGTATGAGAGGTTTGTGTGAGATGTGCAGAAGCAGCTTGTTCTATGTGCTTGTGTGCACCTCACATCTGGTGTAACTTGTACAGCAATGGGCCAATTTGCTTGAGTCCAGCTAGATCCAAGCTGCTTCCATGATGCTGGTATGTACCAAACTCAGACCAAATCTCTACATTGGTACAGTTCTTTTAACATCTTGTAATAGTACTTCTTCTGTCATTGAGCAGTCTTTTTTTAAGTTCTTGATTGGCAAATTCGTGTGCATCGACAAATGCAGACCTTGTCTACTACTCGTATTCCTGTGGATATTGTGAGGCATTTGCTTGTGGAGAAGGACCACACATCATGCCAAAAGTGTACAGTATTTCATGCACCAACATAAGCATGTTTTGTACACAGTCTGTAGACCTAAATTTAGTTTATCTGTATACTGTCATAATGTATGGCAAGTGTTCATCCCAGCCAGTTTGGCCAATATGAACAAACCAATTGGTAGTTTATATTATCTATTCTGTTAAACCATCTGACCTAAGGGTGATATGCCAAAGCGAGTATCTTCAACACATCTAACACTTTATATGACTACAGAACAATTGACTGTTTAAATTAGCTCTTTGATCCAGGTGGATCTATTCCGATGCGCCAAAGCATGCTATCCACTGGTCTGCCACACGTCAGCTACAGACTATGACAATATATTGACCAATGGATAAGCCTCAGCCCACATCATGAAGTAGTTGATGGTGATAAGTATATGTACTGATAAATAGAATTGGGCGCTTAATGTTATTTGCTAATCAATAAATCATTTGGTCCCATTGATAAATTATATTTGATTAATTGATAATTACACTGTTCCTCCAACCATGGTACGTAAAAATAGGTTGGCGCGGGGAGTGTTACAGCCACTTGCATTCCTTTTAGTCAGCATAATACCAACAACAACAACAATAGAATATTGGTGTCAATTCCTGTCAGAGTTGTCTTCCTTCTAGTTAGCATTCCACAAACAACAACAAAAAAATAAAAAAACTGATGACAGATTCTGCCAAAGTTGTCTTTCTTCTACTCATCAGTTCGCTACCAACAAAAAAAACTGTTTGACAGTGGGTGATGCCAGCCAGTTGCCTTCCCTCTTGTCAGCAGTTCACCGACAAGAAAACATAATTGGTGACAGGTGCTGCCAGAGATAGCTTTAATAGATTCGCAATAACAAAGACAGAGCGAACAAGTTTGGTAGCAATATTTCTATTACTTAGATAGTTGGAATAATCGAGAATAGTAACAACTGGAAACACTAATTTCGATTAGTTGATTATTTTCGTGACAATTAATGTTATCGGAATTTCTAACATCTTTACTATCACGACCTCCACTTTTACCCTTCTCTTCTTTTTGTTTTATATCTATAGTTATGTTTACCTTTATTGTAAACTAATGTTTTAAATTGATGCCTTTGGATATAAAAGTGGACTGCACTATAAAAAATAAATGAAATTCTATAGTACTATATATTAATTTCGTTTTTTAATTTATATGTAGAATGCACACATGACACTTCAGCTGATATTTTTTGATGGTGAGGAAGCTTTTCAGAAGTGGATGTCTACTGATTCTCTGTATGGATCTCGTCATCTTGCTAGCAAGTGGGAACAGGAACCCCATGATTCTGAATGTGGAGAAAATGGAACAAGCCAATTAGACAAAATAGTACGTCACAATTGATAAGAAGTAATAAATGCTAAAAATTGTTTAAAATAGTCAAGCTTGTTTCATTGATTCTAGCTTAAGGATAATGTTTAGTAAGTCACTCGCAATACTAATCAATCAAAGCAAACAATGTAATTAATGGGACTTAACTCGCAAACACAAATCCACTTCTTTCAGTTCATAGCATTAAAATATCTAAGCAATACAGTTGAAAAGCTATTAAAATATCTGAGTCAGAGGTCAAGAACCTTACATGTATGCGAGAATAATACTGTGAATATGATATAAGAGATGAATTTGTATTTTCATGTATATGCCATTATATTTATTCTTTTACATGCTATATATAATATGTGAAATGAATAACATTTCATCTGGAATTACCTTTACGATTATAAGAGTCACTCTATGATCATTCATGATCGCTTGATTATTATTATATCATATTCAAAATATAATATCGTCCTCCTTTGTTTTGTTGAAAGTTTACTTAATATTTACCAAGCTGTTGGTTTTTCAGTTTTTCCCGTGTGTTATACATATATATCATATATTTCAGCTATATATGAAGTATAAACACCTATATAGAGCCAGTTTGTAATCAGATAATTGTATAATCACTGCAAATAAAATATAATTTAACCACGGTGAATATTTTTGGGTAAAAGAGTATTAATATGTACTTTTTGTGTATGTATATATATATATATATATATATATTTCAGAAAATGTTTTTGCTGTTGGATTTGCTGGGAGCTGAAAATCCAAGATTTATTAGTTATTTCTTGGGCACTCATGGTGTTCACACACAATTTATTTACATAGGTAAGTGTCTTAGTATATATACAAAATAAGTAAGCGATATAAAGTATAGTATTAATGTGAGTCAGTACATGGGTTTATTGGATAACAGTAGTAACAGTTTTACTTCAGCATGAAAATTCTAATGTTCATCACAATAGAATTTTATTTCTGTTTATTCTTTGTAAATGCTGTGCTACTGTGGCCATTATAGCTATCAGAAGTGTAGTATAGCAGATGTGTCTGAGGGATATTCGAGCACCTATTGGACCTTTTTGACGTATTACAGTGAACATTATTACTAAGTGGGCATTAGTTTATTACATCAAACGTCACTTGGAGGGAAATACTGTTCCAATTAGTTATGTTTATGAAGTAACTGAAATAGAAATGTTGAAAATGTAAGAATTGTCTAATGAAACTATTCAGTCAAAGAAACTCTAGCAATAAAAAAGAACTTACAGTATAATTGTAGATAAAACTGTTGATCGATTAACTAAGGTAATTAAAACAAGTAAAATAGGTAACATAATTTACCAACCTTGTTGGGATGGATTGATAAATATTTGAATGATAAGTAGTTTAGTATAGTGAATGATATAGCCTAGATGGACAAACAGAACCTTTGTTATCCTTAAATGATATATTATGTTATACCTAACACAGAAATGCGAACTACTAACTAGTTAGTTAATAATGCTTGGAGACGGCTTGAACGGGTAACGAAGAAAAACTGTAATATAAGTTTTACATAACAGCAAATGGAGAAGGTTTTGTCATCACCTGATGATAACAAAACCTTGTCGAAACGTTGTACATTTGCTGTTATATTAAACTTATACTGTAATATAAGTTTTACATAACAGCAAATGGAGAAGGTTTTGTCATCACCTGATGATAACAAAACCTTGTCGAAACGTTGTACATTTGCTGTTATATTAAACTTATACTGTAATATAAGTTT